GTGGATGCAGTGAAGGCCAACAGTGATATAGAAAGCGTAGTAGAATTGAAAGCACTGTTCTGTAGATGTAATAAGACCGCACAGCATCAGTAAGGCTTTCAGGAAAAGTAAGCCTATAACATTATTTGCCATTAATGGGTCTAGATTGGTTCCTGAACGAATTTAGTTTAAAATGATAGATACATAGATAGATAGATACATAGATAGATAGGTAGATAGATAGACAGACAGATAGATAGTAAGATTGTCCAATAGACTGTAAGCTCGGTTGAGCAGGGTCCTCTTCAACCTATCGTTCCTGTAAGTTTACTTGTAATTGTCCTATTTATAGTTAACTCCTCCCTCTCATAATATTGTAAAGCGCTACGGAATCTGTTGGCTAAATAAATGGCAATAATAATAATAAATAGATACATTGATAGATAGATACATAGATAGATCGATACATAGATAGATCGATAGGTAGAAACATCGATAGATAGATCGATACATCAATACATAGATCAATATATAGAGAGATAGAAACATAGATAGATTGATACATAGATAGAAACATAGATCAATACATAGAGAAATAGAAACATATATAGATCGATACATAGATAGAAACATCGCTAGATAGATAGATATAAACATTGATAGACAGATAGAAACATCGATAGAGTGACCGAAACATCGATAGATAGACTGATAGATAGAGTATGGCCCTCTGTCATGTGTCCTAACAGTGGTAAAGATATGTCTGAAAAGGAAAGAAACCGGGTTAGACTGAAAAACATTGATTTCTAAAAGGACGGAGGAATGATACGTGTCCAACAGGTAGTGTAGGTGGGAGTAGAAAGTTATTTAGGTCTCTTACCACATACCAAATTAAGACTATTCAGGTTAACCTTTCTAGATATAAACACTGTACTACATTTCCGAGCTGACATATAAAGCATTTCGAACAGTTACTAAATGCTAGGAGAAGATGTAACCAGATTATCTTTTTGTTGCCAATCCTGCTTATGTAACATACTTGCATCCCAGTGGCGGACCTACCGCTGTCGCAGGGGTCGCAAGTGCGAACGGGCTGTCACTCCATGGGGACTGGCCACCCTGTGGACCCCTGCGACCGGGGTGCCCGCCGCCATGTGGTGCTGTCTCAGCACGCGTGGTACTACTGCCTGCCGGGCCGAACGTTTAGGGGCCCATTGAATGCCCTATGCTGTTAGGGCCACCCGATGTAATGTAGTTCTAGGGGCCCGGTGAGCGCTGCAGCGCTTTTTTTTTTTTATTATTCTTTATTTTCTTTGTGCAATGAAAGACATAACAGGCTTACAGTGCCTCAACAGTAAGAAAAACAGTTGTTGTCATGGTTTAACAATAGTTAGGCATTGGAGGATGTTGCGCATTTTTTTTTTTTTTTTGTCATATACAGTAACGTCGCTCAACAATTATTTATTTATTTATTTACTCCTGCTCTGCTTATCAGAAGTGAGATGCAAGGTTAGTTAGAGCAGGAGAGCATATGTGGCAAGTAATATCATGAAGTAACTGGAGATCAGGTTAGTGCAGTATTACACAGGCTAACACGACCAACACAGCTCATGTGAGCAGTGTGTAGCATGGTGTTGCATTAGGTGAGTATTAGATGATATTGCCCTTATATAGTATTAATGAGAGTGGTGTTGTTCAGGGTTCACAATTAGCTAGGACAGAATACCTTAAAACTACCACATAGGAGAACAGTAGTATACATGCTACCAACCTAGGCTTAGGTTAAATCAAAACTATTAAAACTAAGCATGTAAATATCCTAATCTGGTGATACAACTATGCAGTGCTATTTCCAAAAGTGTGTCCAGAAATGCAAACATTTGTGTGTTGAATAGTCATAGAAACCTGTGTGGGTTTGAGTTGGTCTATACATATTCATGCTTAATGTGTGGTCGCTTGATCTCGAGGAATACCTCTCTTTGGTCCCCTATTGGAGCTGTCAGGAGGAGTGAAAAGTGTCAGTGGGATACAGACAGTTGTGGGAGTATATCTGGGTCATGAAGGATTAGTAAAACGAAATAAAAATGAAGGAGGTGATGAGTTCTTTTCTAGACATTAAGTCCCAGTGCTGTGTGGTTCATCCGATGCCTTGTAGGGGCTGGGTGTGCTCCCCCTGTGCTGTCTGTCGCGGCTGTGCTTTGATCTGCGGTCCCCTCTGCTCAGTGATGCATGGGTGGAGTGTCTGAGCGTGGGCCAGTATCTGCGGTGATAGGTATGATGTGGCTCTGATATTGGGCCTTGTCCATATGCGTGTTTGTTGGCTATATCTGTGCCCTTGGCGTCGTGTTATCGCGACTCCCCTGGTGAGAACAGTGGTCTGCCTTTTGTTGGCGTGAGTGGGGTGGTCTGTACCTTTCTTAGGCTGTTTCATGGCTGGGCGGTGAGGCTGGGTTTTGTGCCGCCGTCTTACTGCAGTGCCTCCAGTTCGTTTTGTCTTGGTACGGCTGTAGTTGCTCTAAGTGAGGCGTCGGGTCTCCGCTAGTGGGGCGGTCTCTCTGTAGGGCCCGGGAGGGTAGCTGGCGGTATATGCTGGGGCCACCTCCGGGGTCTTTCGTGCGGGTTCTCGTGGCTTGCTCTCCGGCTTGTCCTCAGGCTCCAGGGGCCACGCTAGTTTCCCCAGTTGCTCCCAAAAGGAGTCAAAGATGCGGGAGAGCCGGTGCTCTGTGTCTCGTCTGGCCTCGTGAAGAGCTGAGGCATGTTTGCCATCCGCCATTTTGTCGGCCTTGTCCGCAGCCTCCACACCGCGCGATTGTTTCGTCCGCTCATCTCCTTTCAAGGGAACCGTGAGGGATTGGACCGGGATGACCCCCGCCGGTCCAGAGGGGGGGGGACGGACAAGGGCCCTGGGGCCAGCACTTGGCTGGTACAGGCAGCAGGAAAGCGGCCGTCCTCCCTGCGCCCGCCAGGCTGGTACGCCCCATCATGAGTCTGGGTGCATCTGAGGGACATCGTCGCTTGTGTGGTGTCTGTTTGTGCGCACCAGTGTCGACTGTCGCTTGGTGGCCGTGAGGGGTCATTTTAGTGCCTCTTTGGAGTCTTAATTTGGCTTTGTTTGCCCTAAGTTGCAGGAGCTGGTGAGGCATGCTTCCTCCTGCAGCGCTTTTATAGTGCGACCAAGCCCCCTTTAATGAGGTCACAACCCTGGTCACTTCCTCCCAGCAACCACCGAGAGCCGCGTGGGAGGAGAAGGAGAGGAGGGAGTCCGAGTGGGAACGCTGACTCACATCAGCCTGAGAAGCCACTGGACCCCAGGGAAGTCACCCTCCTGCACCTAAAGGTAGGAAACAGGGTGATTAAAACATTTTGCATGTCTGTATGTGTGTGTATCTCTGTATGTATCTGTGTGTCTCTGTATGTATGTGTGTCTGTGTGTGTATATGTTTATCTGTATTTGTATCTGTATGTCTGCGTATCTGTATGTCAGTGTGTGCCCTATGTATCTGTATGTGTGTCACTGTTTGTATCTGTGTGTCTGTATCTGTGTGTCTGTCACGGTTTGTATCTATGTGTTTGTATCTGTGTGTCTGTATCTGTATGTGTGTCTGTGTATGTATCTGTATATGTTATATGGTGTGTATCTGCATGTTTGTCTGTGTAACTGTCACTCCACCACACACTGTTACCCCCCTTCACCCTGCCACACTCACAATAACTTCCCCCAATCCTGTCACACACCCATGCTATACTGACCTCCAATCGCTCTGCCATATGCACCCTATCACACTCACCTTCTCTAGCACTGTCACACTGACCCCTCCCCCCAATCTTGTCACACTGATTCTCCATTACTTTGTCACACTTATCCCCTTTCACCCTGCCACACTCACTCTATCACATGAACCCCTCCAATTCTGTGAAACGCACCTCCCCCCCCCCAACCATGCCACAATTACCCTGGGGCTAGGGGGGATGGGGTTGAGATGTATGGTGGGGAGGGGCGCAGGACAATTTTCGCACCGGGGCCCCATGGTTTCTAGTTACACCTCTAATACATCCTACTGAAGTTAAGCTTCATACCAACCCAGACTGACTCTTTATATTACTGGTTTGTATTACAGATCCTGTAAATGAGCTCTGAAATGGTCACAATGCTGACCCAATCTGGATTCTGGCTACTAATTTGTCTCACTGGCTAGCTGCTCATGTAGACATAAAATTCCAGAGCTTCAACCTCTGGGGCTGGAGGTGTTACTTTAGTCACTCAGGCAGGTAAAGGTGATAGTGTTGCTTGATAAGAAAATACATTGCCATGGCAACAGAAGTAGAATGTAGAACTTCTGCACATAAATACATACGTATTTATACTTGTACCAACATTGTAAATTAATTTAGCCACTGTGCTTTCACACATAGTTATTCCTGGCTTTTATAAAGCGCCAACATATTCCACAGTGCTGAATATATATACCTCTACGTAGATTAGGCACATATAAATACACGCATACAGACACGCATTGGCATGTATAAGTATTCACACACAAAGAGTTTCACAGCATGATACACTGGAAAAAAATGCGATTTTTGGAAGATGTACTTGGGTTCTACACGCCTTATCGTAAAGTGTTCCCCAGACATAAAAGAAAGGTTTTTAAACGCCCTATACTACAGCAGGGAAATACAATATATATATATTGGCCGTGGGTTTATGTTTAGAAAGCCATGAATTTCTTAAAAGAACACCCCATGCCCTCCAGGCACCATAACTACTTCAGCACACCAATGTAAGTAGTCAAACTGTTTGCCAGTGGTTGACTTGTTACCCATTGAGTACCAGGCGCCAATCACTACCACCGTTTAGAGCCAGATGCTCCATGCACAGCCAGCTCCTTTGCGGAGATCCTGCACCCCCGAGCTTAACTCAATACAGAGAACTTCCAGCGGGGGAGGTGACTGGCACCCGTAAGACCCCAAGTACATTGTCAAACAGTTAGCAAACAGTTTAACTACTTACAATAAGGGAGTGCCAGGGCATTCCTGACACCATAACCACTGCAGTGTGCTGTAGTGGTTATGGTCATTGGAACGCTCCTTTAATTGAGGAGAGTACACTAAGTGGGAAGGTCTTTCATTCTGCATTGATTGTCATAGAGGGCACTTGTTAGCACTGAATTATGGGAAATGTAGTTTATAACAAGTCCAGTGCTGAACGTGGTCCCTTGCTGCTACAGAGTTCCATTTCCAACTTTTTAGATTTCATTCCTTTGTTCAACCAGCAGGTGGCACTAGACTGAATGCATGGCTGTTTTGTACTGAAGGCCAAGGGGAACATCTCACCCCATCACAGCTAGATGGCAGTCTCCATTAGGTATAGCCGTCATGCTACAAAGAGGAAATGATTAAGAATTTGGAATTACTGTATGAAATGTCACAAACATGCTTTAGTTACATAACACATGACGTTACACACACACTAAGTGTTACATATAAGCAGGATGTTGTTATTGTGGATATTCATAGCTGGATATACAAAGTGACCAGTCTGTTAAATTCAAAAGTCACAGCTTTATGTCACCTCGAAAACCTCAAGAGCTTCAAAAAACATGTGACATATATTTTTATAGGCTCGACTGTTCTTTAAATATGACTAAAGGACAACTGTCCCTCCCAGTAGAGTGACATAACCCAATGTCTAAAGGTTAGCCATGGGCTGTGCTATTTATTTAATATAAAAAGACCCAATTTTTATTAAAATTTTTTTGCATTGGCACATTCTGGTATGAGAATGGCACATATTGGCATATGATGCAAATGAGATATCAAGTTATAAACCACATGATGTCGTGCAGGTGTAAAGCATCGTAGAAATAATTCACAATAGCGAGAGTGCTTTTAAGTCCGTACGGAAGCAGATACCTGACCGCAACTATACACCATAAGGGCTTGTTTTCAATCTTGTCGATACCTTTTACAGGCCCAGTCGCTATTTGTTAAAGGGCTTGATGCTACTGGTATTGAGTAGCAGCTGTTAACCAACGGCGACATTTCACAGTTAGTGACAGGGAAATACTAGCTACCACTACTAAAAGTCATGCACTACCAGGGGGCTAATGGGCCCCGATTATTCTCTACGGGAGCCTCAACTCACAACTCTCTACCTAGCTGCCGCTAAACCTTAAAATATAAAACCTGCCTCTTGCCTAGTGCAAGGAAGTTAACATAATTTAACAGCTTATACATGTTGTAGAAAAAAAACATTGATGGAATTATTTGTGAGGGTTGAAGAGTCCGATGAGTGTGGGGGCTTAGAAGTGTAAAGAGCATGGGGGACGGCAAAATGGATCTCAGCCTCTGCAGCTATAAATCTTTGCATCAGCTTTGTGTGACAACAGTTTTCCTTATTCCTGATCAATCATTAAAGGGACTCTAGCGTGTAAGGAATACACTGTTGTGGTCCTGCCCTCCATCGCACCCTATCCCCCCAGCAGCTAAAGGGTTAAAAAACCTTTAGTCACTTACAGATTAAAGAGCCGATGATTATCGGACAGTGGGAGCGCTAATGCGCATGCACAGTGAGCGTTCCGCGTGCATAAGATCCTCCCTATAGGAAAGTATTGCTGCAATGCTTTTCTATGGGGATTTTACTGATGCTGGTTGTCCTCATGCAGAGCGTGAGGAAGTCCAGCATCAGTTAGGCAACCAAGAGTCAGATAGCCACCAGGAAGTGCCTGATTGACAGCCACAAGAGGCAGTCCCAGTACCGCAATGTAATCATTGCAGATTGTCAGTCAATAATTAACATTGTGGGGTTAAGTGGACAGGGACACTGCCCCCAGAATACTTCAATGAGCTGAAGTGATTTGGGTGACAATAGTTTCCCTTTAAATAATGGATCATACCAAAGCAGTACAGTTGGAGAGATGCAGTTAATACAAACAAAAAAAACACTACTTATTGCACAAACCTACCAAACATACTCAAAAAGACAACAGAGTTGTCAGTTGGACAACCACTCTCTCTTTAGACTTTCTGTCCCACCTATGTGCCTGTCCTGTTTCCATATATTGTATTGTTGAAACATGTGCTTAGAATCAGGATTTTGAACACATGTTGTACATAGTGTGCACTACAAATATTCACCACAGTGCCTGAGTGTGTACTTCACACTATTAGTCACCCCAGAAAAAAAAGTTCTCTTACCATGGATATTGACCTCTGTCCTCTCTTTGTCTTTAGGACTGTAGTATTGGTAGGTAGGTAGACTTGACACAGGGAGTATAGCCATTAGCAGCAAGTCTTTTATAAAACAAGAATTGTACCCAGTGTTCACCAAGAACCACCTAAATGTAACCTATATGTTAAAAGCAAGTCAAAAGTGAGCTATAATGTAAAGAAATCCCTATAATTATACCAGTTAGTAATTTGAAATTACTGAAGTACTTATCTGAGATGGTTAAAAAAACTAAGTTTAGAGCCATAGAGGCAGGTGGACTTCTGCAGGTCTGCCCTTAACTGGCAAATGTGGATTTGAACAACTGACAACCTAATGTGGTTAAATTATAGGCTTCCATGTCATTTGTCATCAGCAGGATTCCCAACCGTTCCGATTTCGGCTGGACAGTCCAGATTTTCGGGTCCTTTCCTACTGTTCTAACCTTGTTTCCTGGTGTGCCTAAAAGTACTGTGCCCAACACTGTCCCCAGCAAGTATAGACTCACTTTTGCTGTGCTCAGGGCATTTGGACCCCGCAGACAGCATGGAATCAGTGCTCCTTGCCTACTGATTATCAGGCAGCCTGGTATAGCCAGTGAAGCCAATTTTGTCACCGTCAAGCCACCTTTTACCTCTCCCACCAGCATTTCCCTTCACAGGGTGCCAAAAGTGGGAGGTATGTATCACCAGAAGGAGAGAGTACATATCACAGCTCAGTCAATAAAGAGTATAAATAGAGTGTATACTGTCTTGGCTGGGCCTAGTGAATGTTGTCATGGTACGGATAAAATGAAATAAGAGAGAACCTGCTCTAACTCCTGTGAGGAACAGGAAATAGGTCTGGCTGATAGGAAGGGGTCGTTCTATTTATACTAATTTCAGAGTTCTACCGTGTTTCTCCGAAAATAAGACTGGGTCTTATATTAATTTTAGTTACAAAAAACACACTAGGGCTTATTTTCAGGGTAGGGCTTAGAGCCAGTCTGTCAGCCGGTGTCCGCGCTGTGTTACCCCCCCAGAGACCCTCACCTCCCCCCCTGTAATATTCTCCCCTCCCTCCCTGTAATACTCTCCACCCTCCCTCCCTGTAATATTATCCCCCCCTCCCTCCCTGTAATATTCTCCCCGATCCCTCCCTCCCTGTAATACTCTTCCCCCTCCCTCCCTGTAATATTATCCCCCTCCCTCCCTGTAATATTTTCCCCCCTCCCTCCCTCCCTGTAATATTCTCCCCCTCCCTCCCTGCTATTCTCCCCCTCCCTCCCTCCCTGTAATATTCTCCCCCCTCCTGTAATATTCACCCGCCTCCCTCCCTGTAATACTCTCCCCCTCCCTCCCTCCCTGTAATATTCTCCCCCCTCCCTCCTGTAATACTCTCCCCCCCTCAATATTCTCCCCCCTCCCCTCCCTCCCTGTAATACTCTCCCCTCAATATTCTCCCCCCCTCCCTCCCCTCCTGTAATACTCTCCCCTGTAATACTCAATATTCTCCCCCCCTCCCTGCCTCCCTGTAATACTCTCCCCCTCCAATATTCAACCCCTCCCTCCCTCCCTGTAATACTCTCCCCCCCATCCCTGTAATACTCCCCCCTCTCCAATCTTCTCCTCACCTGCTCTTCCCTGTAGCGTGGCCGAGCTCCTCTCCGGTCTGCGACCCGGCCGGACTGACAGGAAGTGCACACCCAGTGTGCACTTCCTGTCAGTCCGGCCGGGTCGCGGACTGGAGAGGAGCTCGGCCACGCTACAGGGAAGGGGAGGTGAGGCAGTGCGGCAGCTGTCTGAGCGCTCTCTATAGAGCGCTCAGTCGGCTGTGGCATTTAAAGGGCCGGCAGTCGCCGGCCCTGCCTAGGTCTTATTTTTGGGGGAGGGCTTATATTGCAGCCCACCCCGATAATCCAGCTAGGGCTTATTTTCGGGGTAGGGCTTATTTTCGGGAAAACACGGTATTTTCTGTCCTTTCTGCTGTGAGGGGAGGAGCTAACACATGGGTTAATGCTGCCATGATTTGACAAGGACATTTTTTAATCAATGCTATTATAATTTTCATTCACCATTCACCAAGCCACAAGTTAAAGTTCCTAATACGCATCCGCCTGTCGTTCTGAGTGTTATGCAGAGGCAGAACTTCAGAGAACGACAGCGTGGAAGCAACCTGCCGTATCTCATTGGCAAAACCACAAAAAACTTCCTTTACCTCCGAAACCTCATTGCAATCCAAGTCATTTGTCTCTAGATGGAAAAGTACATCCAATTCCTCTTCCTGCTTAGGCCTCACCATAGTCTCCAAGCCTGTCTCCACAACACCACTACACTCGTTGCCTGAGCCTGTCTCCACAACACCACTACACTCAGTGCCTGAGCCTGTCTCCATAACACCACTACACTCAGTGCCTGAGTTTGTTTCCATAACGCCACTACACTTAGTGCATTAAGCCTGTCTCCATAACACCACTACACTTAGTGACCAAGCTTGTCTCCATAACACCACTACACTTAGTGCCTGAGCCTGTCTCCACAAAAATAAAAAAAGAGGGTCTCTGCCTGATCTAAATGTTGCAGTACAGTGTTCAGTTTATTAGCTGAGATATCACAGCCAAAGAGCTAGCCCTGGCAGCACAGGATTGCTTACAACTCCTCCTGCTTAGGAGCTTCAGAATCTTTGTCATCAGTAGTGGAGGTGGTAAAAAACATCCGGCAAACCTAGTTATAAAACCAAATTGTTCTGAAATGGTTTACTCCTTACAATGGTCCTGGCACCATAACCACTGCAGAGAGCTGTTGTGGTTATGATTTTTGGAGCTTTCATTTCATATACCTTGTGAAATGGCAACCTTAGGCCAGAATTGGAGAAATTAATGTAATATAAAAATAAAGAAGTTTAATG